TCATTTTATATAACAACACATCCTTTGATGGTCTAATAAAGTTTTATATTACTGTGGATTCTCTGCCTGGTCTCTCTTCTCCAGGAGGTTTCGACATCGACATCAAAGGCTGGGGCGGAGAAGATGTCCACCTGTATAGGAAGTACCTGCATAGCAACCTTCTAGTGGTACGAGCACCGTCACGAGGCTTGTTCCACCTGTGGCACGAGAAACACTGCGCTGACGAGCTCCCTCCAGACCAATACCGCATGTGCATGCAGTCTAAGGCCATGAACGAGGCCTCGCACGGCCAGCTGGGGATGCTGTTCTTCAGGCATGAGATCGAAGCTCACCTCCGCAAACAGAAACAACAGCAAAACTCAAACCCCAAGAAAACATGAAGACTTACAGTTGGATTATCGTCACTGCAAAGACTGCAATCAGATACAACAGTGTAGATGATAAACTACTTCAGATTTTAAAGGAATAGTTCAACATTTTTTTGGAGACTTTGTTGACTTTGTTGCTGAGAGTTTGACCCCAAACCACTTTTATCCCTAAGAGTGGTATCAATCTGATCAGCAATAGGCGTACTTCCCAAAAAGGCGAACTATTCGTTTAATGAAAAATGTGAAGACGTTTTACTTTTCAAGGACTCGCAGCACTTCATTGCCCTGAAACGCAAGATCAAGATGAATTAAAACTGACTTGAGTAATTCATCGACACAAGTGGAGCAGACTTTAGTTGGACATTAATCAACATCTCTCCGGTCTGAAACATCCATCTGTAAATTTAGCGTCCATTTGTATTTAACTCTGTGACTGCAGAAAGGCAACTCGGACAGAAAACAGCACTTACGTTTGAGCTACAAAGTGTCTCTGAACTGTGTGCCTTCTGTGACTTAAACCTGAACACTGTCTTTTTGGGATGGCCGGGGAAAATTGGACATACATGTGTTTATGTGTAGGGAAACAGAGCCACCTAGTGGACTGAAAGTGAGCAACATGTTGGTGCATACACAATGAAGGATTCGTTTAAAGCCTGAAATGGCCTTTTAAAAATGTTTTTAAATAAATTATTCATTCCTTTAATTTATGTTTGTTATTATTTCGTAAATGCCAGCATGTATGAGGTTATACCCGGGACAGTATTATGTGTGGGTCATTCATCTCTGTAATGAATGGAGGTGAGTCAAAGAAAAACACGCTATGAATGACAGTATCTAATGTCAGTGAAAAGCCTTCTTTGTGTATTTGTGTATTTATGCCCAAAATATGTCAGTTTATTTTTGAATGTTTAAAATAATAAAAGACAATGTAGAGGGGGTTCGTCACAAAATTTGACACATAATAGATGAATAAAGGAAAGGATTATTGATTGACAATAATACTGTTCACTGTCCTGACTCTGACGATGACTTAACAAGTCAGAATGAGACTTACTGACCTAATATTTTACATTACATGTATTGCTGAGCAGTCGCAGAAACTGGAGATGCTGTAGGTGTAGAGATATAACTGCCTCAATGGTCACTTTATATTAGTTTTAATATAATCTCCCATAAATACTGCTCCTGCACTTCAATCAAAACGAGCTGTACTTTTGGTGGACGACCAAAGATGTGAAGAGAGGCACTTTTTTGAATCATGTTTTTATTGTTTGCCATCAAAACATTCCTTGTAAAAATAAAAAAAAACAGTGAATGACTTTGAAATGTAAATTTCAAGTTATTTTTTCACTTCATGTAAATGAGTTGAATAAAACATATTTGTGCATTGAGTCTGAGTTTGTTTTTACTGGGATGTGTTTGCTTGTGCCATCTGCTGCTAATTATCAAGTCTTACCCAGCTATGAGGTGGAATATGAAACAAAGATATGAGAGAATATTAAGATGATTACTTTCATTCTTGGCAAGCATCATAGTACATGTTGTAATACATGAATATTATTAAATTACCTTCATTTTACGTTCGGGGACAAGCTGAGGAGAAGAATATGGAAACCTAAGTGTTCAGTATTGAATCAAAAAAATATAACATTATTGAATAAATAATCATATAAAGAAATATCTCATTATTCTTATTATTTTAAATGTTACGTTATTTTGCTGATTCACATTTTAAAATAGTTTATCGAGGGGCTTATTTAATTTTTAAAGTTTTTACTTTACAATTGTAGTTTTCTAATATCATATCTCCTCATGTCACATTTTTCCTGATGGCTGTTTTATTTCGTGACACTTTTAATTGCCAAGCCTTCACCTGTCAGTCAAGACAATCAGGAGAACAAAAGAAAGGAAGAATAATAATCAGGTACTTTATTAGACTCTTAAAGGGAACAATGGTGCTCCATAGACACAGGTGCCTTCAATCACTTTGCCTAATTAAACCTTCTCTCAGCACAATGTGGGCACATGCTGACTCTGCCTGATGACTCTCCTGCTAATATGGCTGCACCTGTTAATGAAAATAAGTATTTTAAAAGTTACTGAAGGTTTTAGAGGTGTTATTTAATGGTGTTCAAAAGTTCCAGAAATGTTTCAGTATTTGCTTAGTGTAGCTCAAACTCCAGAGCACTAGATGGGGTCAGTGTGCTGATAAGGATGTCAGCTGTGATGACTGCTGACCTACCTTCCTCCTTGCTCCTGAAGTGCACACAATGGTAAGTTTAACCATCAAAGATAAGTAAATGCTCAGTACACATACTGAGATTAGTAGCTCACACTTTGACTGAGGCTATGTTTTCTCAGAATATTTTAATTTAACCCCGGGGGTTAGTTTCCAAGTGGCTTTTTTTCCCTTGGGTGTTAAATGTTTGTTGCGATGAATGTTTCCTGTAGGTGAGTTGATTTATCAGAAATATACTCCACAGTAGCATAGTTTGGAGTTTTCTGGGCTAAATTTTAAAAATCACCTTGAGATATTTGAAAAAAGTATGTAGCTCTGAGAAGATATAAGTGTAAAAACATGTCACATTGTTGCAGAAAGTTAGGTGCCACTAGGGTTGCAACAGTATGAGATTTTCACAGTAGCCTATGATAACTCAGAAAATATCGCAGTTTCACAGTATCAAGGTATCACGGTATTACAGAATTGATATTATCAATCAGCATGACGCTTAAAGGAATAAAAATAGAGGGTTTATTTTTGGTTTAACAAAGTTTTATTACTATAACTGAAACTTGAAACCATTTTGTTAATGGAAGTATGTCTAAAAGTCTCCCCTTTAGAAAATAACTAAAATAAAGGGCAGATTCTTCGTCCAGTTGCATTTTTTTGTCATATTTTAGATATGAAATGTACATGGTATTACAACCGTTAACTTTTTAAATCACAATGTACCTTGAAACCGGTATATCGCCGCCACCCCATGTGCCATACTTGACCAGGTTCAGTGAGTTCATGAGTCTCAACTCCACAAGACTGCCGCAAAGTCCCTGTGCCTGGCCCAACTACGTGCCAACTACTATCACTGAATAAACAAACTAGATGTAATGTGTCCATTAGCATTAGTGAGCTTAAGATATGCTGATAGGCAGATTTTGTCACCAATGGACAGAGCCAGGCTGTTTACTCCTGTTTCCAGTCTTTATGTGAGGATAAACCAACCAGCTGCATCTGCAACCTCCTATTTTCTTTTCTTTTTCAGATTTAACAGACAGATGAGGCATTCATCTTTTCTCTGCAGGAAAGTGAATAAACCACTTCCCAAGACGTCACAAGATAAAAAATGCTTTGACTTATATTTCAACCCGTTCAGTCCATTCTCAGTAACTTTGTTTTAAGATGTATAGACCTATGATTACAGCCACGCCCCCTTTTTTAACAAGCATGGCCGACGATGAGGCAAATGGGTAAAGCGTAAGGCATGTTTCAGTATTAATCATGTAGTTAAAGTAAATAATATGTGTTAAACTATGTTTAAACTAAACATGATGTTATATTACTTAAACATGCCAAAAAATATGTCAAATATAGCTTTTGCTCATGACTTTACTCATTCATCCACTGAGTGTCACTGGGAAATTAACAGGAGAAATACTGTGTTAAAGGTGGAGTCTTTAACAGGGAAACTGTTCAAATTTGTTTTTCTAACGATACAATCAGCCTGTAATATCACCTATTGATTATGTACACAGAATATTGATCTCATGAGGTTTTCAACATACTTTTCTTCTGGAGATACTTCACAAATTAAGGATATTTTGTGTCATGATGATGAATACAATGCCAAATATAGCATCACTATATTTACTGATATGGGTTAACCATTCGCGACGCCAGGGATCTGCACGCCAGGGGCCCTGACCCTGCCTGCTGCCCGGCACACAATGCACTAGACCTTAAATTCTGTCCTAGCGGTGGTGGGCCTACAGGTTGATGACTCCATGTAATTTTTTTGGGCTGAGCCCGACCAGGCCGGGCCACCAGGTGCTCGCTGGGGGCCGGTGTCCCCATACCGAGAGATGTGCTCAAGGCCCATAGTGTGAGTTCTTGAATTGCTCTTAGTCTGGTTCCTCCTGGTCACTGGAAGGAGCCCTCCGGGGCAGACCCAGAACACGCTGGAGGGATTGCATATCTAATCTGACCTGGGAACACCTTGAGGTCCCCCGCGAGGAGCTGGAAAGCATTGCTGGGGAGAGGTACATCTGTGGGGCCTACTGCCCCGCAACCTGGCCCCGGATAGGTGGATGACAATGGATGGATGGATGGATGGATGGATAATCATTCATGAAAAATAAACTCATGTTTTATTGTTAAAAGAAAGGTCTATTATGACCATTTATAGTCATTTTTACTACAATTAAGTATCCTTATCTTTTTATTTTATTTTACTATTATTACATTTTATTCATTTATTTGTTTGCTAATTATTTATGAGTGCATTTACAGTAAAGATCCACCATTACAACACTTTTTTGTGAACGGGTTAAGGTAACGTTAACGCACCAGTCGTTAACGGAGAAAGAAACTGAGCGCACAGATAAAGTTATGCATCGTATATCCGACATTTCTGCTAGCACGTGAAGGCAGCAGCTCCACACAGGCCCGCAGCCGCGGTCGGTCGACCTCGGAGCTTTTCGGTTGTCGTCAAGCGGTTCGCGCGCCAGCGGTCACACACGTCGAGATCGGGCAGGTGTCGGTGCAAATGACCGACCCTCCGTGAGAACGAGTGTTTTATTTTCTTTACGGGCTTTTAAAACCACCATGACAGACGTGTGGAGTTCTCGGCTCTGCTGCAGTTCACCGCCCACAAATAACAACGGCAGCAATAACAACAACAAATCTTCCTGATATGTGCCGTCCCTCGGCCCGGGCGGTCTGTCGGTTCCGCAGGAGGACGTCGACGTTTTTATTTGTTTATACAACACTTGCTACCATTTTTTAATCTCACACTCTTATCGGAAACCACCGTTGCAGCGACGTCCCAAGGAGGGACATCCCCCTGGTGTTTATTACAGGAGAGGACGCGCCACAGACCAGGGAGTCGAGTCAGAGACCGACAAGAGCAAACATGTTCGAGGCAAGAGGAATCCCCTACATCCTGCTAGACATAGTCTGTCTCATCCTAGGTATGTATCCAAATGCTTTTTCTACTGACTGTGTCTTGCTGCTTTTATTGATTTAAGCCGATTTGTGTTGTGATATAATCCCACTGTTGGGGTATTTATCGGCTTGCCATCACGTGAAGGGAGTGGTGAACGCTCAGTAGCACGCGAGTGTCATTTACTGGGTTAACATGGTTTTATTTTAACCTCTAATAATGCCACTAATCCAACAACATGCCATTTGCGACATATGTATGGCATCTTTACAAGGAGGCTTTAAAGTTGCTGTAGTTTCCTCCTCCAGCATAATTTAAGAACTACATGTTCTTTGTTTCCATTGTATGCAAATGAGTGCAGCTCAGGGTCTTTTCACTTGTTTAAGATGCCCACAGACATCTAACTGGATATTAATGAAGCTATTTACATGAGTGTAACAATATGTAATTATGTTAATAATATTGAAACACTTGCCCCATTAAGCTTATATAATTGAGAGTATTGCCACAATATATGTTTTTCTGTGCAACCAAACGTGTTTTCTAACATTCATACAACGTGTTGCTGAGAATCAGTTTTATAAATGGCACCACTGCCTCACAGGCTCATATTAAACCCACTCACATGTTTTCCCCTCACAAGATCTAAAATCATTACATGGGAGAGCACCCATACTCATATCAGGCCTCAGATAAGACTAATTGTGAACTACAGTTTTATTTTTCCATTTTTTTAACACTGTTTCAAATGTTAAACATTTTCTGAAAGTGAGGCAATGCTTTAATGTTTAATAATTTTTCTCACCCAGTGCCAAAGTCTTTTATACCTCTATACATTGTATGAAGGCTCATAGAGCTGTACGTTTCAGTTTTGGCATGAACGTTGTGTCTCTGGGGCTTAAGTGCTGTTAATTTGATTATGCATGATCAATGCATACCCTGACTCAAACAGTGAAAGCTTCCCCTGCACAGTCCACAGTATGTTTTAAAATGATGTGTCTCATATTTTAAAGATCCCCTCCAGACATGTTTTTAAACTATATGTTTTTTGCCTCAAAAACTTTACATTAGTCCTCTATTGAAAAATAAAAATCTATGAAATATTGTTCATTTTGTGAACGGAGGGGTCCTTTAAGATACTGCTTAGCTACCAAGGCTACAGACTTTTTTACATTGCATAATTTTGTAAGTGCCTTGTGCAGTGTGGGGCAGTATGACTGTACAAACTCAGTGTGCCAGTTGGATGCAGACGCAAACTGGATTATTATACCATCGACAAAGACTATTAGATTATATGTGAGCATCCGCAGTAATCTGTTTCCAGATGGTCTCCAACAGTCATGTGCTGCTGCATGTGGCTAAACATGCACGTACATATAGTAAAATTTGACTTGTAAGTTTGATAAATGTGAAAGCTGAAAAAAATGTTTTATTTTCTAAAGTGCAAGGATGGAGTGTATTTGTCCTGGTTTGCTTACACAGTTGATTTAATTTGGATTTTAACACACTTACTGAGCAGGCAGCCAAAAAGTCTTCATGTTTTTATGTTACATTATCCACATTTTTCTTTCCATCTGTTTGTCCATTAGTTGCAGTTTACAAGAACAAGTTAAAGTGTAACACGGCTGCTTGCTGCAGTTATAAAGTGACTTGGGGGTCACGCTGTTGGCCTGTGTGTGTCTCTGTCCCACCTTTTTGGCATTTCCAGCTGTTGTGGCCGATCAACTGTGCATGGCACAGCTGACGGTGCCAACAGCTGCAGAAATGGCAGACAGAGCAGAGATACCAGACTGCATTAAAAAGTAGTTTATAGGGAGTTAGTGTATCTTTGTGTGATGTCATGTGTTTGTCAGTATTCTGTGGATGTGGCTTGTTTATGTACATCTCTATAATGGACCCTCATTTTCTGCTTGAATGGCAGAGCAACTGTGTCTTGTCCCCACAACACAATGGGCTAAACAGGCCAAACAAGCAGAGAAGTGACAGCAGCATTATGTTCAGCCTTTGAACTGTCAAGACCTATTAGCATAATCTGTTATCTTTATGGTATTTTATCTATGGGGAGTGCTTAGCTTATGTCCACAGCTCCTCTCACACCACTGTGTGTCAGTGCCCCAACAAAAAGCTTCTCAGTCCTCCCTGCTGAGAAACTACCCAGAGATGATAACATCCTACATTGTTTGGTGTAACGAAGTTGTGGCTGTCGAGTGTGCTTACTGTGTAATGCATAATGCTGCAGAGTGTCTGACTGAGGCTCCGTGTCAAAGGGTATGACTGTTTTTCTTATTGTGAACAAATCTCACGAAGAGACCAAAACTAACAATGAATTGCTCTCACTGAAGCCTCCTGTCTATGCAGGCGGATGTAGCTTATTGTTATGTGCCATCGTTGTCCAGAAACTATTAAACACATCAAAGGGCCACATTGCAACACTGGACAACATGTCTATAATAAATGGATGAGTTTATGGCACATATACCTTATGTTATTGTACTGTAAATACCAGAGGTGAGGACTCAAGTCACATCACTTGGACTCGATGCAGACTGGAGTCAACAATTGGTGACTTTAGACATGACTAAATCAAAAATGATACACAACTCTACTTGGATTTTATCCCCAGTAACTTGTGACTTCCTTTGGACTTGAGGCTTTTGACTTAAACATACTTGATACTTCTCCCAAGCCCAAAGATTTAAAATGTTATATAAAAAGTGTACCATGAATCAGTTAATTTTCTCTCATTTCCTGAATTAGCTATCAACAGCCCCTTTTCCACCGCAGGAACTTTTATCATTTACCCGGGATTTTGAAAAACATCCGCATTTCCACCGAAATTACCTGGGGGGGGGGGGACTTTCCCTCAACCCCAAATTTAGCCTGTGCTGGCGCTGATCTCCTCCCCACACACACACACACGCCTACACAACACGGTAACCGGTGAACAGCCGAGCGGCCCCGCTGGAAACAAAGTGAAGATAATTCAAAAAGGACTCGAGTTGACGGCAGCTACAGTTGTTACTGTAAGTGACATTAACACGTAGCGAGTAAGAAGCCAATACTTTATCAATACATGTATTCAGCAAGCATGAACATGTAAACATGTAGGCAGTGATATTCACTATGCTTCGTCCACAGTCTCATCCACCATCACTAACGTTATGTCTTACACAAGGACAGCACGCTAGTTCGGCTGATAGTGAATTGTTACTAATAAGCCCAAATGACAGCTGTCTGTATGTAGACTAACTTAGTTTGACACTTATCTTAAAATACTTTTAAACTTAGCTGCTGAGACAAACAGCCCCTAATCTCTACACCAGCATGTAACCAGCCAAGCTGGCAGAGCCAAACATAGGGCACACGCCAAATCATCTACTTCATCATTTCATTTGAATAAATTTTCCGGAACTTTGAGGTACGGTGGACACACAAACCACACAGATTACCAGAAATTCTTTTACCCAGGTAAAGGAATTCCTGGAAATAAAAGTTCCTGGAAATGTTGATGGAAAAGGGGCTTTTAATGCTTTTTATTTCCATCATGGCGACACTTAATTTTCCAGATCCACTTTGTTTGAACCAACCGACAGCATCCTGTCAAGTTGCAGAACAGAGACCATGTTGAACTATTTTACATTACTGAGCACTAAGAGAAAAAAATGATACCAAAAATAATTGTGTCCACGTGCAAAAACTACACGGTGGTCAACGAAAATCAAATTGCAGTATGCAAAGCATGTACCTCGAAAATTACAGAGATTCAACAACTTCCAACAATCTTGTTTTAACAAATATGTAGATATTAAAAAACACTTTCATGATTTTTGTAAAGTTATTATTATTATTATTATTATTATTATTATTATGATGTTAAAATGGCATTGCATTTGGTGAAGAGCTCTTTATGACTTGTTGAGGACTCAAGGTCTAGGATGAGGGACTTTGTAACTTGTGACTCACAAAACAATGACTTGGTCCCATCTCTGGTAAACACTCAATACAGTGCCAAATTGACAGCTGACAGTGCCAAATAAATGCAGTATTATATATTTATGTCTTCAGTAGGAGACCAACACTGCTGGTTTTGGACTTTTCATTGAATTTGATGACAAAAGAAAAATAAATAACAAAGACAGTGTTATCCTTTAACTGGGCTGCTACAAAGATTGAGGTCTTTCATTTCTGTCACACAGATTTTATTTGGCAGTTTGTCATGACACAAAAAATCACCATTGTCCTCCTTATCATCGTTAGTTCACTCCTGTGTGAAAGCTGACAGACTTAAAAACCTCAACACTTTGTTTCGGGACCTTCTCTTTCTCTGCCATGCATTTTCCTTTACCTCTTTCAGTGGTAACTCCTCCTGGTCTCTCCATCCACAGGGGGTCTGCCTCTGGCAGCCTTTAACCTGGGTAAGATCCGTCCCTACCAGAGGGGCTTTTTCTGTAACGACGAAAGCATCAAGTACCCTTTCCACTCCAGCACAGTCACCTCGACAGTGCTCTACACTGTGGGCTTCACCCTGCCCATTAGCTGCGTAAGTAGGAGTCACTGAATTATCCTTCTCGTGGCAAATATGTTGACTTGTCAGCCGCAGGTGTATAAGTGCACTCTCAGGTGTGCTGGGGTTTCGGCTCTGTTTTGGTGCATGCTGGTTTACTGGCACACCTACGTGGAAAGCTGCCATTATTATCGTTATCAGCTACACTTGTGCTTTTCCTGCAATGGCAAGTCAAAATGTCTGCTGTGAGAATGGTCTGTTGGGATTGTACATTAAAGGACCAATACATTTCAAGAGCCTAATGTAGGATGTATTCAGAGTGTCAAGCTTCCTGCTTGATAACACAGACCAGTGTTCAGTGGCTGTTAACAATAGCACAGCTACCTGGTATTGAAACTGGACGCAGACAGTGTGTTTTATTTAGTTCTGCTACTGTTTCAGTCACGTCAGTGTGAAGCTTGTGAGATCGCTGGAGGTGTTCAACGTCACCTCCTACAGCTCTGTATCGAAGGCTAAAGGCAAGGGAGGATGTCCACTTAAAAACAGTTAATACAAAATAAAATCCTAAAATGTTAAATTGTGTTGCGTCCACACACACTTGTACACACATACACACACGTTTGTGAAGGTCACCTTCAAGGAAATTAGACAGACCTACATTAATTTCTTGGAGACTTACCTTAACCATAACCTCTACCTGCCATTTCCTTATCCTAATCTTATCCACCGACGCCAAAATAATCTTTTGCTGTGTTGTGGACATGGCTTTGGGCTTTAAAGCTTTCTGCAAAAAAGTTTTGGTTTATTTTAAGTATCCTATAGGTCAGTTTTTTTAGTTTTGCTTTATTATTTTCAGTGAACTGTTTGAGCCTTTAACATTAGGGGTGGGAATCACCAGAGGCCCCACAGTAAGATATTATCACCGTACTTACTTGTGATATTCTGGGTGTTGCAGTGACATATATTGCGTAATTTTGTGACTCAGTACTGATTTTCAACTGTAATTTTTACTGCAGCACAGTGTATCTAGTGGATGGAATAAGCAATTGATTTTTTTTATTCTAATAGGTCACCAAAAGTCTAATTTGTATTTTCAACATTAACAATTTATGTAATAAAAAATCAATATTTGTCGTCCTTTTATCGTTACAGTATTGCCACACAAAATATTGCAATAATAGCTGTATAGATTTTTGTCTCCCACCCATACTGAACATTTGGATCAGCCAACGCACAAATTCGGTCTTAAACAAAAAGACGCTGTAATAAAAGAGCTATTTCTAGTTCAACAAATAAAATATGGATAAGATGAGGTAAGGCCAGGCAAAGTTTTGCTTTTAATTTAATCCTTTTGTTTGATTTTAATCTATTCTGTAAACTTTCTGTGGCTGTTGTTAATTAATGCAACAGCTGTGCAGGCTGCATGCTGCTTCCCTCTGTCCCTTAAAATAGCTGGAATGCTCTTCTGGAAGAGAACAATTGTTATTTGAGGACGACAGACGCAGAAAGTGCTGCTGGTGTGGTGTTGGTGTCTTCTCTTCCATCTCTTGTCTCTGGTCTTTAATGTTTCATGAGTTATCACAGCTCCAATCTGTAACACCTCTTGTCAATGTCTATTGTTTAAATCTCTTCATGGTTTACTGTCTGCCAAAGGAAAGTGTGGGAAAATATGTGGAAATGTGAGAGAGGAAGAGGTTAAATGGTCGGTTTGCCATAAAGAAGAAACATCAAGCGGCACTTTGTCAGAGAGGAAGTAAATGAGATGGTGTGTAATGTACGTTTGTTTCAATCACGTACAGTGCATGTGTCTGCAAGGCCTGTTTCCTCTCACTTGCTGTGGGTTTGTTGGTGAGAATTCAACCACCGTAACTGAAGCCAGCCGAGAAACACAATCCCTGACACCTGGCGCTCACGGCCTCAAAGAAAAAGTGATGAGGGCTTAATAACTTGCTCACAAATTTAACTTTTGTGCTTTTATGTTTGACTTTTCTCTTGTGCACATCCACTCCTTGTCAGCATTTAAAGATCTGGTTGCTTTGCCAACACTTTAACCACTAATATTTTCACACTGATGTTCATGAAAGGTGGCGAGGACGCTGCCACCTTCAGAGGATGCAACTTCTCACACGTGGCTGCTGTCTCCTGCTCTGCACAGGCACACAGTATTGCATCATGGGAAGGGGTCCAAGGCTCACTGTCGTATTCTTGTAACCTGTATTTTTTCCTTTGTTTATTCTCTCATTGCTTCTCTGCTAGCTGGACTCCCATTTATAATACTCACCTCGCTGCACCGTCCTTTCCGACGGGGCTTTTTCTGTAATGATGATTCAATCAAGTACCCGCTTAAAGAAGACACCATTTCTGCTCAGTTGTTAGGAGGTGTTATGATTCCGGTCACAATAATCGCTGTAAGTGCATCTGTTTTGTTTTCTGCTAACAGTTCTGTTTGTGCACTACTCACCTTTTTTCCACTTCTCTTAACTTCTCTCTTTTCTCTTCATCCATGATTGCTGCTGAATACATTATTCTGCAATAATGTATATGTTTAATTGCTTACATACGCCTCCACTACCATTAACTCTAAGCTCATTTGCTAACTGCATGTTTAAAAAAATGTTTCCCAGACTTTGTGGTTTTGAGAACTGTGACCTTTGATGATGAACCAGCAAGACCTTTATTTTGAAACTCACCAGCTCCAAATGATTCTGCAGCCGCTTCAACAGTTTGCATGAAGACCGTAAATATCACAGATGTGAAACTCTTCACAAGCAGCGCAGTGGTGACCTCGGTCTCTTTATGCTGAGTGGAATTGAAAAAATGTGACCGCACTTAAAGACAGACTGTCAGCTCAGTATAGAAACAGTGACAATATCCTTTCAGACTTGAAAAAGTTTTACACAAACCTGTACTGCAGGATTTATTTAAAAAATAGACTTAAATTTTATACATACAAAACATCTTTAAGTTAAGGTAAAGCAGCTCACCTCTAATCTTAAGTGACCCATCAAGGAAGTTGATACTTCTCTTATTGATAGAATTAAAGGTACAGATAGCTGAGCGTTAGCAATAAGGGCTGTCAGCGGCTTTTGTTGTCAGACGAATGGAAGGCCTCTGGGCCTGTTATCTGTCAGCAGCATTGTGAAACAAACACATTCACATGCACTTAAACCTCGTCAGGAATTCATGAATCATTCTTACGATGTGTCATACAGCATGAACACATACGCACAGGCTCAAAATATTTTACTACGAGATCTCAGCATGATTAATTTAAGCTTTAAGATCAAACAAAATGATTGGTATTTTAAAGTGGACATCATCCTGTTGCCATGGTATTTCCAACATCTGTCTATCTGTTTGTCAGATGAGTGTTTCTCAGTGATGTTTTGGAGGGTTTACTTAAAGGAATAATTTGACATTTTGGAGAAAAAATGTTTGCTTTCTTGCCAACGTTTTCAACAGAAGATCAATACTATTCTCATATGTGCTTGTTAAATGTGAAGCAATAGCCAGGAGGTAATTAGCTTAGCTCAGCACACTGGTTCTCAAATTATGGTACATGTACCACTGGTGGCAAGCTCTCTTTAGTGGTATGTAGAAGGAAGAAAAAACACTTAGAGCACTTTAACACTGTGTGTCATATTTACCTCTTCACACACACAAACACACACTGGTGGCTGAGGCTACCATACATGGTGCCACATGCTACTCATTAACCATTCACTCGCATTCACACACCGATGGCATATGGGATTCAGTGTCTTGCCCAAGAATACGTTGACATGCGGGCTTGAGGAGCCAGTGATCGAACCACCAATCTTTCGATTAGCGGACCAGCTGTTCTACTTCTGAACCACAGCTGAAAATCCTTAAACCTAGAGATCCCTGAAATATTATTTGCCACCCCTGTAATATCTTCATTTCGGTATCAGCCTGCTACATAGCCACATTCATGAACCGAGTGTGTGCAAACGCCCACGACTAGTTACGAGCTAAACTGTGATGGCAAGACAGTAAGTGGAGGTAAAATTATTGGTTTAAAAACACAGCAATCATGGCTCCAAACAGGAACAGAAGTGCGGATCAGGAGAATATTGTGAGCAGGCCTGTTGATACTAGGGTTGCAACAGCAATATACCAGTTTGAAGGTAACCGTCTTTAGCTGAATGGGGTAGTCCTACACTACTGTATATTAAAGCCGATTATTGAGAGCCTAATATTTTCTGAGGTTGAATGTTGTGTAAAAAATTTGAGAACCACTAGCTTTGCATAAAGACTGGAAACAGGGGAACAGGTAGTCTCTCCGTCTAATAAAATGTGTTTCCACCAGTTTTCTGTCTTTATGCTGAGATAACTGGCTTCTGGTGGTAGAAGGAGCATACGAACATTAAAGTGGCATTGATCTTCACACCTAACTCTCCGCAAGAAAACAAATATGTGTGCATCTCAAAAAGTCAAACTATTCCTTCAAATGAGAGCTTAGTGTGATTTTCTTTCTTCTTTTTTTTTAACCAGACCCATTATTCTAGACTCTGTTAGTGATGATGAGCGTAGGGAATATATCACGCTCTGATGTTAATTTCATTCAGTTGCATCTTTTAAGTTTCATTTGGAGTTTTTGTGTTTATGTAAAAATGTTTTAACTCTGTATCCTTTCCTTCCCCTCCCCCTCACAGATGATCTTTGGCGAGTGCCTTTCAGTTTATCTAAAGCGCATCAAATCCAAGTCCTCTTTCGGCAGCTACCTTTCCTGTGTATACAAAGCTGTCGGTACCTTCCTTTTCGGTGCCGCGATGAGCCAGTCTCTGACCGACATAGCCAAGTACTCCATCGGCCGGCTCAGGCCACACTTCCTGGATGTGTGCAAACCTGACTGGAAACTTATCAACTGCTCATCACAGGCTTATATTGAAGACTTCCACTGCAATGGAGATCCAACCATGGTCAATGAGGCAAGGTATGTACTGCTCTACATTAAAAGTTATAGCGTTGAGTTTGAGTGAGCGTTTTGAGTCATTTTTCAACGTTTTATGGTTCCAGCTCCTCAAATATGAAGACTGGATGCTTTTCTTTTGTCATATGTTTTAGTAAACTGAATAAATTTGGGTTTCAGACTGCTTGTAGAATAAGAACAGAACATCAACATAAAACCACAGATTGAGGCGTTGGGAAATTTTAACTGGCATCTTTCACTATTTTCTTACATTTCACATACAAAATGAAGTGATTTAATTGAAAAAAATAATTGCCAAACTTACTGATGATATACCAATCATTAGTTGCAGCCCTATATTAACTAATGAATGAATGACTTTAGATGGTTTCCAGAGTTCTCAAGGTCATGGGAAATTAGAAGATTGAGTCACCAGATTTCATGGTCTGTATGTACAGTGCCCTCCAAAAGTATTGGAACAGTGAGTCCAATTCGTTTACTTTTGTTGTAGACTGAAAACATTTGGGTTTGACATCAAAAGATGAATATGAGACAAGAGATCAACATTTCAGCTTTTATTTCCAGGTATTTACATCTGGATCTGATACACAACTTAGAAGATAGCATTATTTGTAATGGAACACAAAATTTTTAGGTGAGTAAAAGTATTGGAACATATAAACTTAAAATAGATTAAAGTGAATGAGACTTAATATTTAGTTGCAAATCCTTTGCTTTCAATAACTGCATCAAGCCTGTGACCCATTGACATCACCAAACTTTTGCATTCTTCTTTTGTGATGCTTTTCCAGACTTTCACCGCGGCCTCTTTCAGTTGTTGTTTGTTTTGGGGGGTTACTCCCTTCAGTCTCCTCTTCAGCAGGTAAAATGCATGCTCTATTGGGTTTAAGTCCGGAGACTGACTTGGCCAGTCTAAAACCTTCCACTTCTTGCCCCTGATGAACTCCTTTGTTGTTTTGGCAGTGTGTTTTGGGTCGTTATCTTGCTGCATGATGAAGGATCTCCCAATCAGTTTGGTTGCATCTTTCTTTAAATTAGCAGACAAAATGTTTCTGTAGACTTCTGAGTTCATTTTGCTGCTGCCATCATGTGTTACATCATCAATGAAGATGAAAGAGCCCGTCCCAGAAGAAGCCATGCAAGCCCAAGCCATGACATTACCTCCACCGTGTTTCACAGATGAGCTTGTATGTTTGGGATCATGAGCAGATCCTTTCTTTCTCCAAACTTTCACCTTTCCATCACTTTGGAAAAAGTTAATCTTTGTCTCATCAGTCCATAAAACTTTTTCCCAGAATTTTTGAGGCTCATCTCTGTACCTTTTGGCAAATTCCAGCCTGGCCTTCCTATACTTCTTGCTAATGAGTGGTTTGCATCTTCTGGTGTAGCCTCTGTACTTTTGTTCATGAAGTCTTCTGCGAACAGTAGATTGTGATACCTTCACTCCTGCCCTCTGGAGGTTGTTGCTGATGTCACTAATAGTTGTTTTAGGGTCTTTCTTTACAGCTCTCACTATGTTTCTGTCATCAACTGCTGATGTTTTCCTTGGTCTATTTGTTCGACGTCTGTTGCTTAGTACACCAGTGGTTTCTTTCTTCTTCAGGACATTCCAAATGGTTGTACTGGCTATGGCCAATGTTTGTGCAATGGCTCTGATTGATTGTCCATCTTCTCTCAGATTCACAATTGCTTCTTTTTCACTCATAGACAGCTCTCTGGTTTTCATGTTGGTTCCACCTCTAAATGCAGTCTGCACAGGCAAAACCTATCGTACCCAATCTGAAACTGAGCTCAGACATTCAGTGCTATTTATTGTTTGAATAATCAATGTAATTGGGAGACACCTGGGCAACAAAACACACCTGTCAGTCACATGTTCCAATACTTTTGCTCTCATGAAAAATGGGTGGGTTCAAACAAAAGGTGCTATCTTCTAAGTTGTGTATCAGATCCAGATGTAAATACCTGGAAATGAAAGCTGAAATGTTGATCTCTTGTCCCATATTCATCTTTTGATGTCAAACCCAAATATTTTCAGTCTACAACAAAAATAAAGGAATTGGCCTCACTGTTCCAATACTTTTGGAGGGCACTGTATAGACGTCCAGATAAGCAACTTCCAGTCAGTGTTTTGGGTCACTGATCCCCTTGGACTGACGGGACATGACGCTGATAAACCTGAATTTATTAAGGCATTGCGAACATTCAAGTTCAGATAAGGTCACAAAACAATTATTAGAAATGTCCATAAAACAAATAGTTGTTTAACAAGACATAAATGCATACAAACATATAATCCAAACACACGTCAAATTGCATTGACATCTATGAAATGCTGCAACATCTTTCTATGCTGGTCTGGTCTGTGGGCTATGGGCTGTCTAATGAGCGAGTGAAGTTAGTAAGCATTAGCGATTAGCTTATCCACAAATGCCTGAGTAGTGTGTGTGTTTAGTAATGTATGGCTGTGTCACTGTATCAGCCTTCCCATTCTAAACTACCTAAAGACAGTCATGGAAATGGGGTGAAATATTATGGAAAAGGTTGAGAATTAACTGGTAAAAATGTGTGGAAATGCTGGATTTCAGCTGCTTGCTGTTGAAATGACCTCATTTAAATTTGTAGCAGTCCAGGTTCTTGTTTTGTTGCTGAGCAGATTAACCAAATCTGAAGCTAAACTTCAGTGCTCTCCATTGTTTTGTAACAAGCTGTGGTGTAAGTACAAAGAGCAAAGGTTAAATGTGTCCCTGAGCGATGTATGAATGATTGTGTAATTCATAGTGGTGATAAAACTAATACAGCACGCCTCTGAAGTTGTGCAACATTTAGTTTCTAGTCAGACTTCTGCTCACGAATGGTGTGTGTTTTCAGCAAGATGCAGTTTGAACCATTTACAGCACACGAGACCAGGAGGATTGAGTAATATCACAGGAATGTAAAGCTTATTTTGATTTAACGTCAGTATCCCTTATCAGCCCAGAGCAGAAGGAAGTATAGTGGGAGGAGAGGATATCCACTTCTCATTATAATGTAGGCACGACCACCGAGACCAGCAGTAATTATAGAAGCAGAGGCTTAAATAGTGATATCAGCTGTGCAGATTGTATCAGAGCTAAGAAGGGTTTATTATGAGCCGAGAGGAACTATTGCTCTATTCAGATCTGCTTTACTGAAAGGTGAAGCAGGTTTTTCTGCTTATAAGTAAGAGCGTGTTGCTTTCCGCCTCTCTCGAACAGTTTCCCTGAGCTGAATGAAAATGTGCCTATTCACCCCTCTATCCTCTGAATTATCTCATGGGCATTACCAGGGTGTGGTGCAACATCGTTGATACTTCCTGGAGCCCCATCACTGTCTGCAGTCTGTTTATTTTCATGTCACATATTGAGACAAATATTTATCAGCAGTCCATAGAAGGATCCAGCGATTTGATTAATGTCAGGACACATTATAATTCCAGCTCCTATGTGCCTGTGTGTTTGAGGTGGCCTGTTAGTCACTAATAGAGATAATAAGCAGCAGCAGGAGGGGAGTGGGTAGGTCGGGATCATCTTACTGTAATATGATTCCTCCTTGCCTCAGTTTAACTTCCCTAGGACAGAGGAGACAGAACAGGCCTAGAGCTGTATGTGTGTTTGTTTGAATTTAAGAGGCAAAGATGTCGAACTGAAGGTAATCAAAGGTTGAGAGTGTGAAGAAGAATACCTCTCATCAAGGACACCCATTTTTTATCCAAACGGGTACTTTTAATGTACGAGTGGAGTCCTCACAGGGTCTGACCCACCTGCAGTTTTAATGGGATGCGACAGAGGATGTTCAGAGGTCGGCATTATTATTTAATATGCCAGTTTGCTCTTGTTACCAGGATCTTTTTAATCAGCCTGTGATCGTCGATTATCAAACATTGTTGATGCTGAAATGGTTACTTGATAAAGTGTTTACCTTCCTATTACTTAAAAGAATTTAAAAAATCTGTTACGAATACCAAACCCCAATTTTACCTTCCTAAAGATTTGAGAATTTTCTGCTAAACTCTGTTTTTTATATGTTAAATTAAAAAGCAAGCTGAAAAAACACTTTGTGATGGACATTATTCACCATCATCTGAAATTTCACAGACTAATTGACTGGAAAAAAAAAAATTAACGATTGAATCTATCCTCTGAATTTTAATTTCTTGCTATCTCAAATTGTATCAGTGTTTCTTTTGAAATGTAACAAGACTACAAGGCTGCCCACACCAAGAACAAAACTATAACAATGACTATAAATGTATCATTGTAAAAATCATTCTAGTTCAAGCGGATGGCGGATCCCACACCACAACTGTAACGATGACAGTGGCGAACCATATTGCTGGGATCACTTTAAGAGTCATTTAATGAGCGACAGGAACACTGATAGTCAATCAATCAATCAAAATCCATCCAGATTTACAGAGCAACACACTTGGAGCACACAGTGCAAGTTTGGTGCCTCTGCTTAATTTAATTCAATTCAATTTTATTTATAAAGTCAAATATCACAAAGCACAATTTACCTCAGAGAGCTTTACAGCATACGACATCCCTCTGTCCTTGGACCCTCACAGCGGATAAGGGAAAAACTCCCCCAAAACCTTTAACGGGAAAAAAATGGTAGAAACTTCAGGAAGAGCAACTGAAGAGGGATCCCTCTTCCAGGACAGACAGACGTGCAATAGATGTCGTACAGAACAGATCAACATAATAAATGTGCAGTGATCCATGTCACAAAATGATAAATCGAGAAAGGGAGAGACAGAGAGAGAAAGTGAGAAGGAGAGAGAACAAGAGAGAGTAGAGTAGTAGAGGTATGACTAATAATAACAGCAGTAGTAGGAGGCATCAGGCAGGACCAAGGCAGCAGTGCAACCACAACCAACAATCCAGGCGTAACTGCGATTCGAGGGGACCTGCCAGACAGTGGAGCACAAAGGCTCCAGAGAAGAAGCCGAGTTAGCGATATGCAGTAACAGGTCATGAATGTCAGCAAATGAAGAAGAACCAACTTCTCACAATCTAAGGAGAGAGGGAGAGAAGGTGCTCGGTGTATTATAGGAGGTCCACCAGCAGACTAGGCCTACGTCAGCCTAATTAGGGGCTGGTCCAAGCCAAGCCTGAGTCAGCCCTAACTATAAGCTTTATAAGATGAGCCTGATGCCTTGATGGTTCCACAGAAGAGGAGCCTGATAGCTGAAGGCTCTGGCTCCAACTAACCCTGCGTTCTCAGAGCGCAGTGTTCTGGTGGGATAATATGGCACTATGAGCTCTCTAAGATATGACGGAGCCTGACTGTTTAGAGCTTTGTAAGTGACAAGAAGGATTTATTTATTCATTTATTGTTCATCAGTGTGAATGCTCACATAGTCATCTGTATAGTTAGCACTCTTGGTGTGGACAGTCCTTAGAGGGGAACACCACATAAATCAAGAATATTTTTCCATGGCCTTGGAAAGTTCACACGGTGGCGCTTAAATCTAAATGCTAACATTTGCTAATTAGCACTTAACACAAAGAACAGCTGAGGCTGATGGGATGTCATTAATTTTGCAGGTATTTCATCATAAACTAAAGTATTAGATTAGTGAAAATGTTGATCTGTTAATGACATGGGATAGAAAGTTAGATCATCATCAAAGCTATTACATTTCATCCTCTGGGAAACATGAACATCTACACCTAGTTTCATGGCAGTCCATTAAATAGTTGTTGAGATATTTGAGTCTGGACCAAAGTGGTTGACAGTTACATTACAGTGTGTGTGCGCGTGTGTTCATGGTTTTTGGGACGTGGTCCAGACAGCAGTATAAAACAGCACTGTCAGTATGAACAGGAAATAGATTGAAGTGGCTGGCGTGCTTCTTCGTAGCAGCCACTGTTCACCACATCACTCAACGTTCTTCTCACAAACAGCTTCTCTTAAATGCATCAAACACAAACCTTTCAAGGAGCATCGACTCCACCTCAAGACCTAAATAAGGGTGTGTGTCTGACTAATGCATAAGTTATTTCTACGACAGTATGTCTCAGTGTCAGTTTTTTTGTTTGCTGCAGATTAATTAAGTACATAACAGAGTGTTGAGCCATGTTTTTGTCTTTCTGTTACAGGCTGTCCTTCTACTCCGGCCACTCCTCTTTTTCCATGTACTGCATGTTGTTCTTGGCTGTAAGTACCTGAACCTGTTTTGATTTACATTGATATAAATCACTGTTTACTGGCACATTGGGTCACACAACAGGAAACTCTGGACATTCATATCAGCTCTTAAACACATTAGTGATTATAAATAAGAATCGATTATAGTCCATTAGCAAATCAAGCTTGTGAACAAATGTGATATTGATCCCTTTATCTTCAAGGAATAGTTTTGCATGTTTGAGAATACTCTTATCTGCCTTCCTAATGTTAGTTATATGAGAAGATCGATACCACACCCGTTTGTTAAATATGAGGCTACAGCCAGTTAGCTTAGCATAAATCTGATCATGTGAATTGTCATTTTTACCCTTTTGGTTTTTGTTTGAATTAAAAAAAAACAGGGTTGGAAATTAACTTATTTGTCCACCTTCCACTGTGGCTGGTGGATTCCAAAATCTACCAGCCACTCAATAGATTACCATTGTGTTTTTTGGCTGGTGAGTGAAGCAAGTCTAGCAGCCACTTACATATTTTACCAGTATTTGGCTTATTGCTGGTGCTAATTTCCAACCCTGTTAAAACATACATGGTATAACCTGTTAATAAGTGAGCTTTAGAGGTACTGGTTGGCTTATTTCGTAACTTTTGGACATTGCCAGGCTACCTGGCTCCCTCTGTTTCCAGTCTTTATGCTAAGCTAAGCTAACAGTCTCTTAGCTGTAGCATACAGACAGACATTAGGAATGTGGCTAGAAAAGATCCCTTATGTGTAAATGCGACATTACATTCTCGTAATTGGAGCGACTCAAAAGGGCTCAGGATTCTAAGAAAGGCAGGAAGCCCTTTGTGGGGTAGAGAAGAATGCTACTGTTGTATTAACATACAAAGGCTACAGGGTAGAGTTTCAGTTATAAATGTGCAATGTCAGTTACCTCAACAATGGCACTGATGTGACAATTTAAAAGAGCGATTACAAGTTCAATGGAAAGAAGAGGATTGTTTTACACATCGCAGAATAACTTGACAGATAAAAAAAAAATCTTTGTATTTAAATTACATGGGGAAATAAATGTAACAATGGATTTGAACTTCATCATATAAACGAACAAATCAAATACACAATTAGATGTAGTGTAAGCTTCCTTTCCCTCTCAGTGCGACACATTGGTTCCAAAATATGAGGCTAATTTATTTTGACGTCTTGTAGGTGAACTGAGCCTTGGATGCTTCTAGCTGCTTGTTAGCAACTTTCTGTGATAAAGAAAAACATACTGGAATAACACAACATAAACTAGATCTTACAAGTTAAAGAGGTATAAATTCAAGTAGCTGTTTCAAAGAACATTTATTGTTTCAGCATGGGTTGCGACAACGTTGCCCGTGAATAAACAGTGTGCATCTGCTGTGTTGACTTTCTTCAACAGCAACAGCACTGACGTCCCATTTTAGCAGTCGCAGTCACTGAGCTTATTTGTTATAATTGACAATCTTTGATTAACCTACATATTTATTATATAGTTTAGCTGTTCACCATAATTTGGTCTTGTCCACTGATGTTTGAGCAGCGATGTAGCCGCTGCAAGACGACCTGCCGAATTTAAACACATGGTTGAACTCTCCATATGAAGAGTGTTTTTACACAAGACAGATGCTTTCTAGTCATAACCAGATATGAGAGTGGTATCAATCTTCTCATCTAAGTCTTGGCAAGATAGTAAAAAAGTGTATTACCTAAAATGTCAAACTGTTTTGAACTTCAGTGATTCAACTTTTCCTTGTATGCATTGATGACCTTTTTTGATGACGGTTGTTTTTCTGCCCAGGGAGGTGCAGCATCTTTGAGTTCCTTCTGTTGTGTTTATTCAGAGCTGAATTTACTGCCCCGCCCTGATAAACTTTATAGGCTGCTGATTCCTTCAACACCAGTAGATATAAATAGACACAGGGACAAAGTCCTGGCACCAACATAAAGCTCCCTCTCCCTCAGTACGAAGTGGAAGTTCAAGTATGAGAAGCAGCGTCTGACGTTTAAACATTCACCTACAAACCTGCTTTTCTTTTTCTACGCAATTAAACGACAGCATTTACGGCATAAATGAAGTGCCTCAGGAAGAGAATCTGAATGAAGCGGCTAAGCTTGTTTGTCCTCCAGACATGCCCTGTTTTTAACATAGATAATAGTTTAGTGGTTTGTGCTACAAAGGAGAATGACATTCAGCTGACCTACATTGGTGCTCCAGGGGCGGTGTGATATTCAGTTATCAGTTAGATTGTGAGAAATATCAGTCCAATAAACTGTACTTCTATCAGTAACACGAGTATTTTAAGGTCATTCGGCAGAGGGAAGTGTGGCCTGCAGGAGTTTCTCACCCTTTTAGAAGACAGAGGAGGAATGTAGACAAAGATCTGATAAAAAAGAGGATGTTTGTTTAATTTATTAATGTATTTCTCACAGTTTCTTGATGATTTATTTGTCTCTGGTGTGGTAGTGTTGGTGTAAATACACTGAGTCACCTGCACATCACTGCAGCTCGTTTTCCTACAGAGACGCTGCCCAGTCCGATGATCATCCAATAATCCGTGTCCCCTGTGTTTCTCTCAGCTCTACCTGCAGGCAAGATTCCGGGTTGATTGGGCGAGGCTGCTGAGACCCACAATCCAGTTTTTCTTGATTGCTGCATCAGTGTTCACGGGATTGTCCAGGGTGTCTGATTATAAACATCACCCGGGTGATGTGCTGACTGGACTCCTGCAGGGTGCCCTCATGGCCATCCTGGTGGTAAGTCATGTGTCCTAATCTGACCTTAAAGGAATGGTTTGACATTTTCTTTATTGAAATTATTATTTTGGGGGCGTTTTCTGCCTTTATTAGATAGCGATAGTAGAAAAATAACAGGAAGTGAGGGAGAGAAATGCAACAGATGTCCCAGGCTGGATTTAGACATAGCGTAAATATGAAACTACAACCAGGAGATGTTATGCAAAGCATAGCGTGAAGACTGGACGCAGGGTGAAACAGCTAGCACGGCTCTGTGTATGTAAAAGAACTGCTCGAACTTTCACAAACAGTTGTGGGTCCTTGTAGAACCTCATCGCTCATGAGGAGAAGCCAACAGATTTTGGTTTCGGGGCTTTGATATACCAGCTTTATTTCCACTTCCACCGGCAGCTATGAATGGATGTAGAGACGGCCTTGAGCATCTGTTTGCATATCAACAGTAGTGCCTGCTTCACCACCGGTCAATGACAAGAACAGCAAAGAAGAAGTGCAACAGCTGTCATCAGGCTCCACTGCTACACACAGCTGTGGCTATTTACAGCATCCATAACCACTGTTCATCACCTGTACCTGTAAAGTTCATTATGACACTTTTTACATACTATACTATGACTTCATTCAATTTAATGTCATACTGTATCATGACATTTTGACGTTTTTTGACATGCAGTATTATGTTTTTATGGACTTTTGAACATTGTCATGACTTTTTGGTGACACAATATGACTTAAAGGACATTTTTGGTGACTTTATGAATGACATACCATATTATGAAATTTTTGACATGCTGTACTTTGACTTTATGACATTTTAATGGAATACTGTATTATGAAATTGACTTTTTTTATGAAATACTGACTTTTTTGACATACTGTAACTTTAAATGACATTTTTTCTCACCTATTTTTATGGCATGCAGTATCACTTTTGATTTATGACTTTTTGTGACACTGACTTCTTTTTAATGACATACTACATTATGACATTTTAACATACTATACTATGACTGACATTTTCATAGCATACTATACTATGAAACTTTGACTTTATGATGACATACTGACTTTTTATGACTTATGACAACTATATTTTTCATAACAAATAGTACTTTTTTTGTCTGATTTTCACGACTTTTGTGATATACTTTGACCTTTTCTAATATTTTATATATAAAATGTTATTTTATGGCATACTATATTTTAATGCTTATGACAGTTGAATGACATTTGTTAGGACATACTACATCAAGAACATTTTGATGACTTTTTTTTTGGCATATTCCTTATAATATATTATACCATGACTTTTTAAAGACTTTTTGTGACAGTTTTTGCAATATATTACTACTGCAATTTAATGACTTTTTATGCCATTTTTAAAAACTTTTTGAATTTTTATTCAATTTTTTATGACATTCTATATAATTAAAAAATATAGTATACTATAACTATGCCTTTTTTGATATGCTACATCATGCTTTATTTTTTTAATTTTAATTTATTTCATGGCATACTGTACTATGGCACTGAGAGTGCCAGGCTCACTGTTTCTCCCGGTGTCCAGTTCTTTTTTTAAGTTAACTACCTCCTGTATGTAGCTTTCTATTTATCATACAAACATGAGAAGTGTTAATCTTTTCATCTGAGTCTCTGCAGGAAAGCATATTTCCTAAAATACCCAACTATTCTCACCAAGTTACTGATTGCCCTTGAATTTTTTTTAAACGAAGCACAGATGTAAATAATTAAGCCTCACACTCCTGTATAAAAACATTCTTCCTGTATCTTGCAGGTCTTCTTCGTGTCTGACTTTTTCAAGCCGTGCAAAGAAAACCATGAAAAGGCCGACATCCCACACTCAACTCTGCAGGAGACCCCAACAAATGGAAACCACTTTGAGAGTCCCAACTAAGCTAAGCCAAGAGGTGGAGGGATGACGTCTCTCTGCTCTGTCCAAACGCACACCCAGGATCCCAGCTCTCTAGCCTTTCATCTCACGCAAACACTCCTCCCCGAATACCCTGCATGGATTTTAAGTTGACTCTTACTTTAAGTAAGCCAGCTTCTGGGAGCTGCACCTCAGGCCTGTTTTTAAGATTTTAAGACTTTTTAATTTTAGGCTGTCTTGTCCGCCAGTTCTCCATCTGGGCCCGACTACCTGTCCAAGCCTTGTAGATATGCTGAAGTGACTGTGACAGATGAAGGTTAGGGGCTAGAGATTCTGTAAAGACGGAAACAAGTTAGCATGATTCTACTGAGCTGGTGGGAAGACTTGCCTGCACGCACCCACTAAAGGGTCTGACCACTGCTGGGAGAGAGAGGAGGGTTGGAAACCTGTGAATGTAACCTTGCTTTGTGCTTTTCCTGACCTGGAGTCAGTCTGCTCAACCATCTGATTTAGGATCAGTTTTTGGTCCAGCACCCAGAGAGACGGCCGAGTCTCGCAGCTTCCCTGCCTTAGGTCCGGTGTTAATTAAAGGGCTAATTATAAGAATGTTTCCTTCTCAAGGCTAGAACGTGCTGGAGACTGAAGCTGATCCTAGACCAGAGGGCAAGCTGCTTCACATGTGGAGCGGCTGCCTCCAGGCCACTGCTGTCGCACTCTCCAACTGTCTAACCTTATAAAGTCAAGGACGGAAGGTAGCTCGACTTGTATCATGTTGAGTTAGAGAGTTGAAGAGTAGATGGTTAGTCTAAGTCCCGTGTTGCCTTTGCTGGACTGCTACTGCTGCTATTACAGCCCCCTGTGTATCTAAGAACTAATATACTTCAAGTGAACACACAGTGTTCTTTTGTATAATCTGTACAAATCAGCATACAGACTTTTATTGAAAAACAAAGTGTTACAAATATGTACAAATGTCTAAAATAAGGAAAAATAAAGCCATTTTACTCATTAACATGAACAGAAACCTAAGTGTATTATGTCACGAGTCTTCACATGAAATGAAAGCATGTCACGAGTCTTCACATGAAATGAAAGCATGACTTGATGTTAATTTCCCAGGCAGAAATCAGAAAAATAATGTAAATTATATTATGAACCACTCTGCTCTGTACCAAAAATAAAAGCATGAATGTTCAGTGTATTCTCTCCATGCAGATGAAATCACCTCAATGAAAAACACTTTTGTTTACATCCTCAGACATATGTAACGCAGCTCAGAGATAACACAACAGGACGTTACAAAGTTTGGGTAATTTTCCTGATAAATGCCAAGGCGGATCAGAAAAATGACCTGGAGGACAAATAAATTAAAAGCCAATTTAACTAACACTTGGGGAAGGAACGGCACAATATTTGACTCCAGTGTGACCAAAAAAAAAAAAAAAAAATGACGAAGAGGTACACCGGTGGTTAATCATAACTCAAAGGTCAAAAACAGCGTTAATCCTCGAGCGCTGCCGCTGTGTGTTGGAAGCTGCGAGGTCTTTATAGGTAGAGACTGGCAGCAAATACAATGTCTCTCTTGATCTTCGTTATTCCTACAAAAGAGGAAATCAATTATGTAACTATTTTTTTAATCATACACTTATTTCAGTGGTGTTTCACCTGCTAAGTCAAGATGAATTTACCAAAATACATTTTGCGGTAACTGGTAAAAATGCAGTACGTTGTACAGCTTTAAGGATGATGATGTACGTATGATCAAATCACAAAAAAATTTGGTGATGTCTTCATTTTCTGTTGCTTAATCCTTTCCGCTCTAAAAATCACAATGTTTCTTACCTTCAGCGAACTTGTTCTCCAGCTCAGTGTTGCCTATGGCCTTGGCTGCAGAACACATTTGTCTCAGGACCTCCTCCAGACGACGCATGCAGCGGATGATGCTCCCTACACCAGACAGATGCGTATATAAACAGAGTTCAGTGTGCGTAAAACAGTTGTTTCAAACATTTTAATGACATTTAGTATTAATTTATGCTGAACGTTCTTGGAGGAATGTAGCTTCTCCTTACAGGTCTGTAATTTCAACATAACGTCAAATATTTTTTCAGTGAATAACTGTCATTTGGTACCAATTATGAGGCAACACTGCTTATTTTGTACATTTACAACTAATAAATGTAAATTAATTGTGGTTGGTGACTAGAGAGTCCTTCATACTGTGCAACCTGTCAACAGACAAACAACATATAAGGAGAGTTTCCAATAATGAATTAATAAATAAATTGATAATGAATCATTATTTACACTGATTTATTTGAAACATTTCATGTAAGTAAATTCCAATTTCCTAATAATTAGTGACAAAGACAGAAAACTCCCTGGAAATTACCAGGAAATCACGTTCATTGTTAGCTCCTCCAGTTTCTCAATTCAACATTACTTCCTCATAATGATGACATGTAATGTTTTACAGCTGAGGTCATTGTTGGGAGTCAGAGATAGAAACTGTGATGGACTCCGAGCTGGGTTCAAATCAAACCTCACATAATAAATCAATTAGTGAGCCTCTTACAGCCGACTGTGTGTGTGATAGTGGAGAAATCATATTAAATTGAATTTGTGAAGGCCATGTTGGACCTCAGCAGTGGTGGAAGAAGTATTTGGATCCTTTACTAGAAGTATAGAAGCACTTTCAGCTAGATGAACTTAAAGTTTTAAACTAAAAGTACTTGTTCTGCAGAAAAATGGCCCCATTGTCTCATTATTATAACTCTTATCACTGATGCTATGTCGCATTTTACTGCTGCAGCTGGGTAAGGCAGCGCTAATTTTAACTACAAATACTTCAAAATTGTACTTAAACACCTGTATTTTAACTTCCTGTCATGCCTGTTGGACATTAACATGAGTGGCACACCTTCAAAGACGTCAGTCATCTTGCAGATTTGAGCAAATGTGGCACCGTTGGCCCAGGCGAACACCACATCCATGAGGTGAGGCTTAAACTGGTTTAGGTAAGTCTCCTCGTCCACCTCCAGCTTGGCGTCTGCAGACACTTTGGCGATGCGCTTCGCACACTCCTGAACAAAAACAACAGAAATCACATTTAAACCAAGTTCAAACTTTTGTTGATTAAAAATCAAAATGTTTGATTCTGGTTCTAACGTCGTCTCACCTGCATTTGTCTCAGAGGAGCTGCTAGTTGTTCAGTCAGTTTTGGCATCTCGCTGGCCTGGAGGGAAAACGACATCATTAATGTTGTGACAGCAAATACACATTTGTTTTGTTGTTTGTGTTCCAACTCTAGTCCTTCTGACTGCTCTTTGGTTCGTTATTTTTAAACATTCAACATTAAAAGAGAGTGGAACAAACATTTGATCCTGCTCTTCTTTGGTGACAAAACAAACCACTTTATCACTTCATGAAAATGATTGTCAGCCTGTTAAAGTCACCTACAGCAGCTTTAGTTGTCAGCAGTTCTAACACCTGTCTGACTGTATCACTCTCTTATCAGTGCAATGTGAAGCTACAGCCAAGCGACAGTTTAGTTTTGCATAAAGACTGGAAAGAAGTAGCTGCAGGACTAATCCTTGGATGGACCTGCTTTTCCCCCTGTTTACAATCTTTATGCAAAGCTAGGCTAACTGTAGCAACAGACACATAAGCGAGGTATTGATCCTCTCATCTGACGCTCAGCAAATAAAGTAAACAACTGGATTTTCCTGGAAAAAATAAAATAAACAAAAATTGCAAAACAGGTAATATTCACATGGTAGCGGGTATTAGAGTCACATATTTATACATCTTTCATTGGAGCTGGTTACTGTTTGAAATTTTTTATACTAGTGCCAATATGATATACTTTTTTTCAATATCTTACCTTGAGAAAAATAAACATCTATTTTCGTAAAATAAGAAGCTGAATGCCTCTCATATTAATGTCACCAGATCAGGATAGCACAAACACAGACACTTATATTTTGTTTCCGGCTGAGATACTCAGAGCAGACAATCGCTGGCTGTCACTGTACCCTGGACGACACTGGGAAGCAGAAATTCAATGAAAATTGGCCATTTAACTAAGATTTTGCAGCGTGACTGAAACCAGTACAAGGCAATGTGTAAGAGGCTCTGTGTATATTAATGCAAGAAGTTTTTAAAATGCGGCACAATGAGAATCAAGGCAGTGGAATCCCACATGTAGAGTGAGAAACACAAAATCGACAGGAACACTCGCCAACAAACGCAAGTTCTGTTCTACTCTTGTGTCTGTCAGGAGATAACCACGTTTTATGTAAACATTTCAGCAATATTGTCCCTAACCCAAATTAATCAGTGTCAGTTCATGATGTTTTTCACTTTCAATTTTGGTTACTGTAAAATTTCCAAGTGGTATTAAAAAAGTCTTAAACGGTTTTAAATCTAAGTTGCCTTCAGTTATAGGAACCCTGACTCAAACACAGTATACAATTATTTAAACTAGTAAATATCTGATTAAAGAATAAGTAAACAAGACTATGAATCTGACCATGAGATCAGTATCAACTTTTGGGACAGTTTTTGGTTGCTTTGCTTGTCACATGATATGGGGGATCAGTGAAGTCCACATTGAGAGAATGACTCCTTCCTGTGCAGGTTAGCATTGTTCAATCATCGTTGAAACCTGGGTTACTTTAGCACTGTCATCAGTGGTAAAAGACACACAAGTTGGATGGTTTGCTGTTACCTCAAACTAAACTAGCAGCAGGTGCTCTGTAATGACTTACAACAGCTGTGCACACACACACACACACACACACAGACAGTGTGGTTGTGTAGTGGTGTGCAAACATGACAGCTGCTTGTCGTCGCTCCCTCTCTGACAGACCGCTCTTCAGACAGAAATGTGCTCTGCTGCTCTGAGGTCTGAGCTGACGTCCAGCCAAAGAAAAGGTTTGTTAAACCATCTGACGCTGGATTGCCTCATTGAGAGAACAGGCTTCATTAGGAAAGACAAACACACATCAACCTCAGGTTTCTGTTTTGGTTGCATCGCAGGGGGAAAAGGCCAAGAATGCGACTTGAGTTGGGATGTGTGGGAAGAATGGGAATGAGCTGTTTATCTCTGTGTTCGCGGAAGAGGCTTAATATCTGTTTGTATGGAGAATTAGACGAATTATACGCGTTTGTGTGTGTGTGTGTGTGTTTGTGTTCGTACATTCTCCTGGAAGACGAAGCAGGACAGCAGGGCGGTGGCTTGTTCCACCGTCAGGTCGTTGAAGAGACCATTGAACACCATCTCCGTCAGAAGAAGCTCGTCAGCACTGGAAAGATTATTAGATAATATCTTATTACTTTATCACACTGATCTGATACATCTCTTCCCATGTTCTATTAAAACAGCAATGCACAAATGTGGTGTGTGTGTGGGAGTTAAGTAAAAGCAGGTGAGAGCAGATGTTCCCTCATCTTTCAGCCCTGGTAGAGCTCACACTTCCAAAAACAGCAATACATACAACCCATCACAAATAAGATCCAGGGTCCATCTCCTCAGTAATAGACAAATCTGGGCTGCAGTCAGAGATAGACAACCCATCGTTACTGCTGCAGCACTTCACTTAGGAATTTGCACGTAACATCGTATGGTATGAAACCTTTTCATCTAAATTTAGTCCAATTTAAAAGGCAGCTGGATGCCCTTTCTGTTCTGTGCTGTTATCAGTTCCTCAGGCAAACTGAGACTTCAGAAAACAAAAACCTCTGCTCCATGAAGTCAATTTTACTCTCCAGTTCCAGTTCCTAATCTCCATTATTATCAAATCCTTCTGTTTTATTAATTAGCGTATCCAGAAGCAGCATTTTCCCCCCAAATATGTGTCCTAAACAATTTCAGAGCAGTGTTAAGACTGGATAATGTCCACATTCACTCAGACTTCCTTCAAACCTTCAGACTGCGACCATGATTAACCCAAACATCTCTGCTTTTGCTATCAGTGTCAGTGTGTTCTGTTCCACTCCACCAGTTTCTATAGGCTA